AATTGATGTGAATTTAATTGGTGAGCAATAGTAGCTGTTAGGTTGTTCCTGTGAGCCATGTGGACACCAAACCTTTCTGTGACATGACAGGGCTTTTGGTTCCCAACTTCTTTGCCTCTCTCCTCATGTCTTCAGGATTTTAGTGTTCTTTAAAAAATAAATCAATAATTTTCTTCCTTGCCTCACTTTTTATCCTTTTTAAATAAAATGGTTGCAAAGGAAATAATTCACAATGAATTTAAAATATGTAGCGATACACAAGCTTAAATCAAGAAGAAGCATAAAAATATCCCTATTTTAAAAAAATATTTTATCTCTATACTTATGTCAGTTTAAATTTTAAAATTTCTGTTTGATATTTTAAGGTTATTTTATAATATACAGTTCTATTTTCCAAGTAAGCTATTGCAATTAAATGTGTAAGAATTATTATAGATTATTTTACTCCAAACAGATGATTATAAAAATATCTACTATTTAAAATTCAAGTTAGATGCAAGCACCCAATGATAAATGTAAATATATTGTACACCTAAAATGTACCAATAAAAGAACTTAAGGAAAAGTAAATAAAATTCAAGTTGTTATTATGTAAAAAATATTTCATTTTAGGTACCTAATCTGAAACATCTCTATTCTAAGTATTAAGTTTCATCTATTTTAGTAATTTAAAACTATTAATGAATTTACCTCAATATTTAAAAATACACTATATTTCAAATTTTCAAATAAATGACTTCAATAATAGTTCTGATATCAGTAATAGTTCAAATCATTACTTCTTTTTCTTTTATATTTGTATTTTCTAAAATCTACATGTGCAGTTATTTCTGATTTTCTTTGTTGTCATGATTAAGAATTCAATAAATATTTTTGTTCAATATATTGCTTGGGCTTTTCCTTCATTACATAAATATCTTAGTAATTTCATATATTCATAGGCTCCTTCCTAACCTAAGTTGTTCTTAAAGGTAGAGCTTTTCCTTATTTTCATATATGTGTATTTTTGTGATTTAGAAAATATATTCATATGCTTTCATTGTGTCACTTTTTGTTGATAAGAATGTATGAATTTGTAGACATTTAAGTTAAAATTTTTTCTATTTTAATTAAAGCTAAATCATTTTTATTACATAGCATGGAAAGCATTTATATTGTTAGTAAGTGAGCATAATATGATCTAGTGTGCTATTGATCTATTGGCAGTTTTCAGAGTAAGCAGGGAAGCACACTGACACTGGACATCCAAGCATTCCGGAGCCAGGCCTGGGAACTGAGGCACTGGGGCCATAGTTGGGTCCTGCACAGAGATTATGCAGACACTGCATTTCCCCCTCACCCTGGCTCCCAAGAGCAGAGGGGATGAGGGAAGCTGTGGTCCAGGCTCCCAAGGGCAAATCTGGCAGAGGACAGAGGTCACCATGGAGGGCAGAGCTCAGCTCCAGACTGCAGGAAATGTCCTCTCCCACCTGGACAGAGGCTGAGAGGAGACACAGGGAAAAACAAGGGGATTTCCATGTTGCTCCTTCTATTAGGCCTTGTCCCACAGTGGAATTCTATAGGAAATACTAGTCTCTAGTCCAGATGCCCCACAAGGAGGCAGAATCACCTTGTGGGTATGTGTGTATGTGTGTGTGTAACTGTGTAATAATTAAGGCTATTGCTTTTGCTGCTGTAGGGTGTTACCTTGTTTAATTAGTTTCTCTCATAGGTAGGTTTGTTTCACATGTTTTTCTGTCATCCTGTCAGGCACACATACCTGTTAGTTTAATAATTGTGTTCAAACTCCCTATGATTTTTCTATTTCCAATTACATTCCCTCCCCTATTTTATTTCTTCTCTTTTCATACTCTCTTGTAGGTATGCAGGTCTGTAGGCAGGGAAAGAATAGAAGGGCTGCATTAGAATTTATCAGATAAATTAGTAGGAAATCTTACTCAAAGCGGCTTTGCCCTCTGCAGTTAGATTCACTGGCTAATCCTGAGGTGAAATCCCACAACTTTACTGGAGGGACTCTTTTTATGAGACTGAAAGGACACAGGTAGAGAAGGAGAGAGAAAGCAGACCTAGAAATGCACCAGAGAGCTCAGTGAGAATAAGAATTTACAGCTAAAGATGGAATGCTCTCTAAGGAAGAGACTGATCAGAGAAGGCACTGACAGGTAAAGGAGGAAGCCAGAGCAGGAGAGTCCCCACTTTCAGTAAAGTGCATAGGGGATATGGATGGGGGAGCTACTCAATGTAAAAGAGTCTTTTAGTTTATAAGATACAAACATATATAAATATTCCCTGTAGGGTCACTGTGTTACCACAACAGGTACACACACATCCCCTCACTAACTCTAAAAGCTCCCCTACAAGCCCACAGCTTCTAATACTTCACACAGGGCAGGAAGGAGTCCAACAAAACCTCCAACAAGGAGCATGCAGTTAGGCAAGGGTGCCTGGCTCAGGATCCTCTGACCTAAGATCCAGCCAAAGACAGGCTAGGAGACACATTGTGACCTGTCCGGGTGCTGTGGCCTGAGAGGGAATGTCTCTACCCTGAAGAGGCCCAGGGACAGAAGCTTGAACCTGTCCATCTTTTTGCAGACCCTGTTCTCTCTCCAGGGCAGCTCAATTCTGTCTGATTTTTTTCTTCCTTCCCACAAATAAACTATCTTCCTTTCTTAAACTTCATCCCTCTAATTCCTTTTGGTACTGGATATTTGATTAGGCTAGCTGCTCACCCTGGACATGATACTCCTATAATAGAATCATGCATTTATTTACAATATATTTCCTGATGAAAATTTTATCATTACATCCATGATAATGTCAGTCATAAAATAAATATGTGTCTGGAAATTTCATCTGCACTCAGTCAACAACAACAACAACAACAAAAACACAACAAATCAAAGCAAAAAAATCTGACAGACCACTATTGAGTATAAACATTATTCTTTGCAAATTTAAATAATTATGTGACAAATTGAAAGTAAATAAAATTTAGCTAAGACTCAGAGTATCATGAGGGATTATGTTTCTGCTCTCCTGTGGAACTTTGTAGGGAGGAGGGGAAATCCTTTGCTCATTTTCTCTTAGAACATCAGTCTTTGGCCTCGTGCCCAGTATTTGCCTTTGGATTTGGGCCCAGAGGGTGACCACATGCTTCAGGGCCCTGCATGCTCCTTGATGGGCCCTGGAAGCACCAGGCAGGGAGGCAGGGCACACAATGCTCCAGTTAAATGCACTCTTGCTCACTGGGACTCTTTTCAGATGAGACTTCCTGGCTAAGTGTCCATTTGATCAAGGCCTGAACAAATCTGGTAGAGTAATTTAATTTACCTGAGAATTGAAAAAGAGGAATGCACAAAAATATAAGTCATTTATACCTAAAATATAAAAGTAATTTATATCAAGGAAAAGAAATATCACAGAAAGACTCAGGTTATTATACTGTTATCATATTTTCTGTCAGAAAAACATTTTGTAATTTTCAAATTTCTAGACAAATTCTATGGGAAAAAGTTTTCATCAACCTTGACTCACAGTAAGTATCATGTTAAACTGGAGTGTTTTACAAAAGATATAATAAAATAGGGATTTTATCATAAGAATATGCATATACATACATTTAAAGCTTATCAAACTCATATTAATATATTCAAAGGAGGAATAGAGAGATGATTGAATTGTAATCAGCATTGCAAAATTTAACTATAAAGTTTAGGGGTTTTAGAGAAAAGTGGCTTCCAAAGGCCAAAAACATAAAGACCCAGTGTCAGGAATTTGGCATAGCAGTTTATGTTTAAAAATCTCTTAGTGTTTAAAAAGTTATTTTCCCTTCTCAGTTTGGATAGATGTATTCAGTAATTCTATACTATATGCACTGTATAATCTTATTGCCCTCAGTTTCCTAAAATGTGAAATTGATTTGTAATTCATGCCCAATAGCACTGGCAACTAAATGAGAATAAAAAGGAAATTGAAGTTATTTTCCTCATACTTTATTGCATATCCTTGGTAAAATTGAAAAATGAAGTTATAAATACGAGTAAGGAATTTGTAGCATTCTCTCAGAAGGCAAAATTTCTTGCTAGAATACCAGTGAAAAAAGTAACTGCTCTGATTTCACAAAGGTTATTTTCTGTGCTCTTCTTGTGATGTCAAGATCTGTGGATAACATTTGGGAGGTCTGATCTCTTTAAATTCTTTATAGATTCGAGATAGTAGACCTTAGTCTGAGGAAAAGCAGGTGAAGATTTTTCCCCACATTGTGGGTTGTCTCTTCACACTGCTGGTGGTTTCTCTTGCTGTGCAGAAGCTTTTTAATAAGAAGAGATCCCACTTGTTGATTGTTTGTGCTAGTTCACGGGCAACTGAGGTTTTGTTCATAAAATCTTTTCCTACACCGATGTCTTCAAGAGTTCTACCTAACCTCTGTTCCAACTGGTTCAGCATTTCTATTTTAATATTTAGATCATTAATCCATTTTGATTTTAGTTTAGTGCATGGTGAGAGATATAGGTTTAGTTTTAGTCTTTGGCAAGTTGAAACCCAATTTTTCCAGCACCATTTATTAAAAAGGCTATCTTTCCTCCAGTGAGTGTGTTTGGGTCCTTTATCAAAGATGAGATGGCTGAGTGTGTCTGGCATTGTTTCTGCATCTTCTAATCTATTCCACTGGTCCTCAGGTTGATAACAGTGACTATGATGGAAAACTTATATGTGGATTAAATGTGCTAATGAAGAAAACATTTACAGTGTATCATATTCAAGCTAACTCTATGGTATGTAGCTTTTTATTATGTCAGAATCAAATATCAATTCATATCATAGCTTTCTCTATCTGACACATGAATTTTTTTGTTTATATTTAGCAAAGTTTTTGTCAATTCCCAGGAAGAGTAAGCTAATTAAAATTAATGCTGGGCCACTCATACAAACAAAACCTGTTTGCTGTCATTCAAGCTAAGTATAGAATTGGATTTCTCATTAGATTAATACATAGCAGAATGAGTAGATGGAACTCCACCACTGTGCCAGGCTTCATCCTAATGGGGTTGACAGACTCTGCAGAGACACAGCTGGTCCTCTCTGTGCTCTTTCTCCTGATTTACCTGATCACAGTGCTGGGGAACATGGGGATGATACTGATCATTCACCTGGATCCCCAGCTTCACACCCCCATGTATATTTTTCTCACTCACTTGTCACTTCTTGACCTCAGCTACTCAAGTGTCATCACCCCTAAAACCTTACAGAACTTACTGACTTCCACCAAGAGCATCTCCTTCGTGTGCTGCTTCACCCAAATGTATGTTTTTATCCTCTTGGCTAGTGCTGAATGCCTTCTTCTCTCCTCAATGGCCTATGATCGCTATGTAGCTATTTGTAACCCTCTATGCTATCCAGTCATTATGTCCACAGGATTGTGCAGTGGCTTGCTTGCTGGCTCCTATGTTGTTGGCTTTGTGAATTCCACTGTCAATGTGGTTTGTATGAGCAGATTGCACTTCTGCAACTCTAATGTCATCAAGCACTTCTTCTGTGACACATCCCCAATTTTAGCCTTGTCCTGTAGTAACACATTTAAGGTTGAAATCATTATATTCATTAGTGCTGGATCCACCCTAGTGCTGTCCCTCATCACCATATCTGGATCCTATGTGTCCATCCTCTCTACCATCCTGAAAATTAATTCTACTGCTGGAAAGAAAAAAGCCTTCTCCACCTGTGCCTCCCATTTCCTGGGAATCACCATCTTCTACAGCACTATCATCTTTACTTACCTGAAACCAAAGTCTTCCTACTCCTTGGGAAGGGATCAGGTGGCTTCTGTGTTTTACACGATCGTGATCCCCATGCTGAACCCTCTCATTTACAGTCTCAGAAACAAAGAGGTGAAGAGTGCTCTTGTTAGAATCATGCAGAAGAGAGAGGGCTGCAGGCAGTTAATATCACAGTGGTGCTAAGCATCTACATTTGTCTTTTTATTTTTTAATGGAAATTATTTAGTCTGTTTTTGAAACAAGAATTGTGGGGCTTTTTTCTTTTTTTTTTCCTCTGCAGCTGTCCTTTCATTATCAAATATGAGAGTGGACATTTCCAGGCACAGATGTTTATACATTTATATTTCACCTGGAAATCATGAAATATGGGTTATATCTGTGAGCAAATACATTTGGTTTCAAGGACAACTAATGTGCAAAAGAAGAAAATATGTTTGTCATATTGAAAACTACATCATATCATTTTCATGCATCTTCTAATTTTACAGAATTTTATATTAATCATTTTACTTATAATAGAGATTAATAGCAATGATGATGTGAGAAATCACTTCATAATTAAAAATTGGGCATTTAGATTCTAGCACTGCCAACTTTCTAGCATACAGCTCACCTTAATTCACTGAAATTATAACAATCAGTATTGTCAACTTTACATGATATATAATAATCCCTTATCCATGTGAGCAGAGGATGGTTGTAAAACATTGAGGGCAGTAGCAGTGAATACTGGTTATTATCACCAGATGCCTTGCATTACTGTAATATTTAATACGTAATAAATTTTAATAATATTTCTTCATGTTTTATGATTTTTTGTGTTAATTTAATATACAAACATAATACCTAAAAAGGAAAAAAACAGAAGGCAGAAATTCCCAATTTTGGATTCAGAATAAAGATAAATATTGAATTAAAATGAAGTTATAGGAAAGTAATATGTCCTAATGTTGAAGAACAGTTAAAAATTGTCAATCACTAAAGAAAATAAAAATGTTGTATTAATTATTGACTTTCCTATGAATGTTTTTCTATTTCAGTGGTTATGAATATGTCTATATATTTAATATAATTTTTCTGTAATTTCTTGTATATTTGCTGCTTTGTTTACTTCAAAGTTATATATCCAATAATCTGTGTAGTTTTATCATGTAAGATTAACATGTTTTCAGTATATGAGCAATTTTTAGACTCTTATTACAAATGCTTGGATATGTTCATAAGATGTGTTTTTCTCCCCCCTACATTTATTTTAGTGTATTTGTATGAGTTAGAAAATTTATACTATTGAATTTTGTTGGAAAACCTGTCAATAGATTCTTTGACTTGGAAAAATAAAGTATTTAATTTAAAGAAATTCCTAGATTTCATTAAATTAATGCTATTTTTCTTTATTCCATAGGGTATAAAGCATTTATACCTTGTTATTAAATGACCATAATTTACTCCCTTGGCCATAAGAAACATTTAAACATTATTTGCATTTGGCCAATCATTTACTTCTCATACCACTAGATAGCTCTTGTACTAGAAGTTATTTCTCTGAAATATTGTGAGATCTCATGCCCTCTTTCACAGTGCCAGGTCAGTGTGCTACATAATATAAATATGATTTTTGAAAAGGCCATAGTGCAGCACAGCAAAATATGAACACCGGTTTTGCTTCCTAATAATTAATGGCTGGATAGCATCACTGCTATTATAGGTTCCTAAGACAGCAGTCCCTGAACCATGTGCACTGTTCAATGTTTTTTTGTTTGTTTGTTTGTTTTTGTTTTTTTGGTGCCAGGGATCGAACTTGGGTCCTTGCGCTTGCAAGGCAGGTGGCGGAACCACTTAGCTAAATCCCCAGCCCAAATTTTGGTCAATGTTTTGTACAGTTCCTAATAGAAGACACAGTGCTTGGCATTGGGGGCTAAAGCTTCAAAGTCACAAATATGAACTTAGATGCAGAAATGAACTTGGTAAAGGAAAGAATAACTTATCAGATGGTGGATGATGACAGGAAGGGTAATTGTATCAGCAAACAGTTTTCCTAGTGTTATGAAACATTCAGAAATAGATTTGCTCAATACAAAACAATACCCATGGCTATCACCTGGATTTATTGGTGTTTCATACTCACCCTGTTGCTCAGATTACTTTTGGGTTGGCTGTTGATGGCAAGTAACTCAGTGTTCAAGTTCTACTATCTTTTCGCTCTGTTATCTTCTTCCACATAGTCAGAGAGAGTTCATCCAATATTCAGTGTGAAGGACAGGTGAGAATTTGTTTTACAAAGGAAAAACTATTGTGCAGATTTTATTCATATGAATGCTCTTCATAAAATACTTTATTACTTTATTAAATGGATAATTACTCATATTACTCTTTTTCTGTCTATTGATCATCAAATTCAGCAGCAGAATATTTTTATAACACATTTTACTTTCCATTTTAGTTTTCTGAGGACTTGGTGATATCTTTATTTTGTTCTTGATATTCTGTTTGTTGTTCTCCATGCAGTAACAGTCTTTGTTTGGACCCATATATCTTTTTCTTGTTTGGTGATTGGGATTGGCCTCATGGACCATTAAGCTACATATTCAGCCCTTATTAAACAAGGGGCAGTAAAAGACACCTTGAATAATATTGATCAATTCTCCCCAAAGCTTTCTTCTTTTATAAATGTTATTTTTATATATGGCTTTAATTCATAATGCAAGAGCATTATTTTCCTTCAGTCTTTTAGTTTTAAAGTAATTTAAATTGAAATTTATAATGTTTGTCAAATTTCATTTTGCAGATTTATACTTGTCATTTATATTTCTGTATAGACTCAAGTGTCCCTAATGGTTATCTGTCCCAGGGTCCTTTGAACTGGTTAACCAATGGCTTCCTAAATTTCTTATTGTTAAAGAAGTGTTGACTAGTATGTCCTCATATTTCTCCTGTTCCATTACTTCCCTATGTTACTTTATAATATTACTCATTACAGTTCCTTAACATTAATTCTGTTTAGATAAGTTCTGTTGTTTCCCTTCCAACTTAATGATTATCTCTTAATCTGCAGTGACTCCACTGATGACCCTGTTGTAGGAGTCCATGTAACTGATTTTGTGTCTGTCTGCATGCATGCATGTGTGTGTATTTCAAGTATGATACTGAATACTTTCCATAACTTCCATCTACCAAGTATAAAATATGACAAATTCATACATGTTGTTTAGCCTCTGCAGTAGGACACTTAAATGAATTCCAATGCCTTTAGACAAATACTACCAGGAATGCATGCATTTGAACAAGTTGATGTTATTAGTTATTCTTATACATGTTTCATAATGATGAACAGAGAAGACTTGGAGAGCTAATATAAGCTCTCTCAATTACAGGTTCATTGGCTGTCACATCTGCCCATGGTTGGCTTTAACTATAGTTTAATATGTAGCTGAAATTCCTCTGTGCATGCAGTGGTTACATCTTTTGTACACACATTCCACAAAGTGAGCAATTTCCTGGATTCTACATATTCTTGGAAGGGACTTGTCTTTGGAATTTAGATTATGTGAATGAATGTGAATTCAAACTTGTGAAAGGGTCACTGAAAATTATGATTTTGTAGATTAACTGGATTTTAAAACAAGGGTTGAGGAAGTTTTAGTGTAGATTTTAGCAACTTATGTGCAAATGCAACCTCTCTTATCCATTGCTATTACTTGGAGAATCATTTTTATGTATAACATCACATTTACCAGTGCACTATCCACTTCCAAATCTTAAAAATGTAATGATACCTCAACTCAGCCCTTTTCTAACTGATCCTATCCCATCTGTTCTGCTGATTCATTGTTTCTTTACTCATTCCTTCTTTTATTTGTTCTTTCATGTTCCCTCCATCCTTCCTGTCTATCTCCCGGTTGTCCCTCTTAGTTTCTATCCTTCCTTCCCCCTCCTTCCCTCTCTCCTTCCCTACTTCCTTCCCTCCTTCCTTCCTTCCTTTTTCTTATATTTTTGGGACTGAATCCTATTAAATCAAGCCAAAATGTGTAATGTCCTAATCACTGCAATGACTTATCAAATCCAGTGGAAATCATTTCTACAAAGTATTTTGTATACATTAATACAAATTCTCTGTTATTTCTGTCACTGAGTTAATGAAGATCTTCAATACTAAAGAGAAAATATCAGGCAATTCTTTCATTTCTTTATGCAGAGTAAACTTTAAAACCTGAGTTCTGTTGCTCAGAAACTTACCTTATAATATGGACATCAGTCTATGGAGATATGTGGCCTTGAGGCAAGCATTGAAAATTTTTGTATATGACTTTCTCATCTGGGATAAAATGAAATAGTGCAACAATTTCATGGAGATATAATCACAGGGAATGCAGGCATGAATAAAATTGTCCAGTTGCTAATAAGCTGCATAGATATGCACATTATTACTGTTGCAGTGAGGAAATTTTCCTTATTGTCTTAGGATTTCTGGTTAGTTGTGAAAATATCAGGAGAAGGACAATTTAACTATGGTGAGTATTCAAATGTATTCCATAAAATTTTGCATGACAATAGGGTGGAACATGGCAAGGCAAAAGCCAGCACCCCTCACAATTCATTTGAGTGTGTTTAATTGAGAGTATTTTTTTCATTTCAGAGTATTTTTAATTTTTAATACATATAAATATTGATCACTTTAATCACCCTAACTCTCCTGCCCTCTCCTTTCTTACCTTTCCCTGATCCCCTATCCCATTACCAAAAAAAATTATTTTTCATTATTTCATATTCTGTGTGTGTGTGTGTGTGTGTGTGTGTGTGTTGTGTGTCTGAGGCAGGATCTCACTACATAGTTTAGTTTAGGCTGTGCACTCATGATGTAGGCCACTGGAGATGATCCTCCTACCCCAGATTTCTGAATGCTTAACTTGCAGACTGATCTCACTATGTCTACCTCTAGGTTTTCTTTCTTTCTTCTTCTTCTTCTTCTTCTTCTTCTTCTTCTTCTTCTTCTTCTTCTTCTTCTTCTTCTTCTTCTT